GGGTCGACGAATAATTGTGTCCGTGTGTGCTTCTTTCCCTCCTGCTCACGGGTCGGGAGCTGTGGCTCCGCGCGTCGCGCCGCCGCTTCTCTGGCCCGCCCCTCCGCGGCGCGACGCGCGGTCCCCCAGGAGGGGAGAGAGAGCCCACAGACACGAGGAACCGTCGATCCTCCAGAGCATGTGAGAACATGTGGGAAGGGGGGGGGGGGGAAGGCGAAAGCCCTGAAGGTATAGGAAAAGATGGGCATACTCCTGATATGTGTGTCTATGTATTTGTTTGTCCCAGGGCCCCTTCGGGTCCGCCCAGGCGCCCACCGTCCCGAGCCGCTCCGGAGCCCCCCGGCCCACTGCGCGGAGCGACACGCGATCAGCCCGCAAGGCGTATAGAGCGCGCCGCCGGGGCCGCCGCCGGGATGCGCGGAGCAACAGTTATCGACCGCACGTAAGAGTGACCTTTCGCCGGAGTGACCCTTTGGTGCGGGCCCAATGGGATCCCCCGATCGCTGAGCGCGAAGCGGTAGCAGCGGCTGGCGCGCCCAGGTTTGGCCACCCCGTCCCCCGTCTTGCCGCGCACCAGAGGTCACTCTTACCCAGGGTCACTCTTACGTGTAGCCGAGCAGTTCTCGACCGCACGCGTCCTGGAGGGGGCCTCGCTTTCGAGGCTCGGAGGAGTTGGCACCTGTCTTCCTCGGCGGAAGGGGGCGGTGCAATGCTGGCGGGAGCCGGCGGAGGCAGTTAACGAGGGCGGCTCCGCCGGCGGAAGCCAAGAAAGACCCCCAAGAGGCAGCAAGGTTTACTTGGATTCAGGGCTGCCTGGACCCGCCGGGTGGGCACCGAGCAGCTGGGGCCAGAGGATCGCGCCGCACCGCAGCTGCGCCGGCGACGCGCCTCGATCTGGATCCTGGTTTTCGCAGTCCCGGCGTCGCCGATGCACCGGCGATGCGGCGCGATGCTCCGACCTCACCTGCTCAGACTCTGTTCGGGAGGCCTCCGGGCCTCGGGCGCAGGCTTCGCGGGCACGGCAGCGGTGGCCAGCGAGCCGCCAGCTCAGTTGCGCCGGCGGCGCAATCGTCCCTGCCAGCCTCACGAGCGCAGTCTCCCGCGCCTGAGCCTCCCGATGAGGGGGGTCCTCGCGGCCACGCTGTCGGGCGCGGCCGAAAGAGCACGGGGGTCGACCGAGGAGGAGGAGGAGAGGAGGAGGAGGATGGAGAGGAGGAGGATGAGGAGGGAGAGGAGGAGAGGAGGAGGAGGAGGGGTGGAGGATCGAAGGTTCCTGGGGACCGGCCCGGGAGGGGCCCTGAGCGGCCTCTACAGACGGCCACCGCGGGCCAAGAGGGCGCGGGAAAGGGTGCGGGCGCTCCTGCGCACCGGGTGCCCGAGCGCGGGTGTTGCCAGAAGTGTCCCTGGCCCAACAAAAGGGCCCTCCTCCTCCTCCTCCTCCTCCTCCTCACTCCTCCTCCTCCTCCTCCTCCTCCTCCTCCCTCCTCCCCTCCTCCCTACTCCCTCCTCCTCCTCCCTCCTCCTCATCCCTCCTCCCTCCTCCTCCCTCCTCCTCCTCACACCTCCTCCCTCCTCCTCCTCCTCCTCCCTCCTCCTCCTCCTTCCTCCTCCTCCTCCTCCTCCTCCTCCTCCTCCTCCTCCTCCTCCTCCCTCCTCCTCCCGCTCTCCGCGGTCCGTGCAGCGACGCTGACTGTCCCAACCACATGTGAGGTGGATGTGACACGGCTCGAGCGTGAATATCGAGCGACCATCAAGCGTGTCGAACGCCTTCGTGCTGGTGGGCTCCCTGTTCGAGAGGACCCTGCTCTTCCTGAACAGTTGATGTGCCCTAGCGCTGCCACCCCTCCGATGTCGACGCCGTCACCTGGTACTCCTGTTCTGAATCTTGCTGGCCATCCGCATTCTTCCCCTCCGGAGCATGCACCACCAGCTGTCTTTGCCGAAGGTATTGCGTCGAGGGCTACGCGCTGGGTCTTGCGCCTGGATGACCCCGAGAGTGGCCGTGCTGACTGGCTGCTGTGGTGCATCCCGTACGTGCGCGCCAAATTAGACGCGTTGGATTGGGTGGATTCTTCTGGTTGGGGTGGCACACTCGACGAACTTGCTCGTCATATTTGCACGATTGCCTGGGACACTTCTCTTGAGGGGCGCCTCAACATTGTGGCATACCTTCGGTGGCTGAATGACCCTCGCCACGCCTTGACTCGACACGAGCGATGGGAGGAGGCGGCTGATCGACATTACCAGGCACTTCGTGAGATACGCAGAGAGATGAGGCAATACATGGGACCGGCTGCGCCACAACGTGTACGCGACTTCCTTGTGGACAGAGATGGAGGCGAGGTCCTGCCCACCGTCTCTGCCAACGGATCGGTCCGCTACCTTGCTTCACTTGTCTCAGCAATGGATTCTGAAGATGGTGATGACGCCGACGGAGTTGGAGACGACGACCCTGCCTCTTTCCTCTTACAGGTTTCTGCTGCAGGGTGCTCCTCGAGCCCTGCGGCCACTGGCGTTAGATCGCGGAGGTCGACCGCCTCTGATGGAAATAACGGCTCTGGAGTAAGTTGCGAGCTTGCGTCTCGAGTTCGGAGGTCGACCGCCTCTGATGTAAATAAGGGCTCAGGAGTAAGTTGTGAGATCACGTCTCTTGCACGGAGGTCGACCGCCTCTGATGGAAATAAGGGCTCAGGAGTGAATTGTGAGCTGGCTTCTCGAGCTGGTTCTGGGCGCGTCCTCCCTGCAGACACTTCGAGCTCGGCCTTGTGTGCTTCGGGTACGGCTTCAACTTCGGGTTCGGCGGTTGTCTCTGGCCCTGGAGCGGCCCCGTCTGTGATCGTACCTTACCACTATGCTGCTGGCTGCTCGCCTCTATCCACTCGTACTGAGGTACCCGCTCGAAACCCCGACGATGCCTGTGCCCCTGGACTGGTCGCGGGACCCGTTGAGCTTGTGGCTGCTGGTGGTGTGGGTCCCAGCCTCCCGAGCCTCGGTAGCCTTGCCAGCGCTCCTGTGAGCCCAGCGTTTCGGCCTGGAGGGCCCTTCTGCGGGGAGCTTCCAAACAGTGCTCGCACCCCGCGTGCTCCGCCGCCTCCTGCTCGTGCCGCCGCCGCGTTTCCCCGTGCTGGCCTGTTTGGGGTCTGCGCCTCTTGGGATTCGCGTGAGTGTTCCAAGGCTGGTCGTCCCGACCTGTGGAGTGGCCTCCCACCCGTAACAGGGGTCAGCGGACAGGACGGCGTGAGCGTGTGCGCCGAAAACAGTGTGCACGCCTGCCCGTCGCTGTCCTTCCTTCCCTCCTCCTTTGCTTCGATCCCTCCCGCTGCTGCTCCCTGTCCTCCGAATATTAAGACCGCTGCGCTCCCTGTGCAGATTGAAATAAGCTCTCTGATTGAAACGAATCTCGGCACTTCGACGGCATCGTCGACCACGTGTGCACCAGCTACAACAGCAGGCGCGCCCCGCTCGCCTGCGCTCGAGGCGCGTCCGCTCGCCTCGTCTTCCTCCGCCACGGGCGTTGAGAAGCGCCAGGTGCCGAGGGGCTCCTAGGCGGGTGGATCGACCCTGGGACTCCCTCTACGCTCGTCTCCTCCCTCCTCCTCCTCCTCCTCCTCCTCCTCCTCCTCCTCCTCCTCCCTCCTCCTCCTCCTCCTCCTCCTCCTCCTCCTCCTCC